AGCTGTTGTGGTGTGTATTGCGAGACATATGGCAGTCGTTGTGGTTCTCCGTATGTCTTGACGTACGTCTGAAACGCGCGGAACGACTCTCTGAGGCCTCCGTTGTCCGCAATATTCTCTCCCAAAGTATTCCTTCCGTTCAACTAATCATTCAATTCATGACAACTGTATTAACACTTAATATACGAAACACATCCCAAACCCCACTATTTCTAGGCATACATTCATATGAACTTCCGGTACGTATTCACTCGAGTATTGTTTGACAAAACAATTTGCCTTTTCGTCAAACCTTTCCGTCGCTTCTTCTGTGAACCTATTCTTGAGATTTCCGTTTGAATCGTATTTAACACCTAATATATAATATCCAATACTAATATTACAGATTGTAAATTGCAATCCAAACTGACCCCAATCATCAAATCCATGTGTAAGTTCGTGTCCAATTAACTTATAAATAATAATTTTATTTAAAAATTATAACTTCTTGAATGTAATTACCCATCCAATGGCCCCATAGTTGATAGCCGCCGGGCCATTGCTATATAGAAAGGGTGGCTTCAGAATAGTAGCCGGGAATACTTACAACAATACAAAAAATCATAAATGAAAATAATTTTAAAAATCTAATATAATAAACTTTATAAAAAGATGCATTAAATAATTATGTTTGATTCATTGAGCATAGTAGTCAAAATTTTAAAATATTGATATTTATTTAGGTGTTTTATGATGAATATCTTAATCTAACAACGACCACCATCCGCAAGCGTAGCTGACCACTAACACCGGTTGAACCAGTTAAATGTATTTGGTTAAATTATTTCTTTATTTAAATCTCTCAACAGTAATAGAACTCATTAATTTTGTTCACGAGTTGTCCAACTGATGTTTCTGTAGATTTATATTCAAAAGTCAGTAAAAATAATAATAAAGATGGATTCAAAAAGTACTAATTGATAATAGTTATCCAATTTATGAGTAGTGAGCACCCAATCGGGATATCCAACAAACTCCTTCATATTTTTCAGTTTATTTAGAGCTCTATAGCGGGTGTTTGTGTCCAACCAGTCGTTCCCTCCAATCAACTCATAATAAGCTTTCTTAACATCTCGTATATAATTTAAGGCCTGAATTAATGTATTTTAAAAATATATTAATGAATACAATCCCTGAAATTAATTCATAAACCTCTTGTCTATCACTTTGTGTGAAGTGTTTGTCAACGTATAGGCGACTCAAAACATATGGCAATTGAGACGATATGCTGGCCGTACAGCTCCTCCACAACTCGACATCCTTTTCCACTCCAGTAAATAATTGGTTGAATTTAAATCTAATATCCCTGAACTGTTTAGTGGTATGTGAGCCCAAATTCATCACTAATTTCCAGCCAAAATAATTGGCAATAACTCTATTGGGAGTTGTGGTCAACAGTTGTGTAACATTTATATAATAATAAATGTCCTCAACGACCACCACATCATTGATTTTCATACGAATTGTTTCATTCAATTCCTTGTATACAGTGTTTGTTATGTTCAGCCAATCGACAGAATTATTCATCAATTCATTAAATGTTTCAAATGTAATCGGTTTATAATATATACTAGTATCTGAAAACTGAAATTCCAATAAACATTAAGTTGTTTTAATAATATGCTGATTCTTAGTACCTGAGCCAATTTTGTTTCAAACTCCAATAAACTGTCAATATCATCATTGATTTGTGTAGAATTGTAATTATTAGCCGCCAATAGGTTCACCGATTGGAGTATATACTTCTTGTAGCCCCTAATCTTACTCGCATAACCTTCGGGGTTAAGATGGTAATCACGAGACAAACCTAATGTTGGTTTTGAAAACTAAGTATAGAAACTAAATCATCAAAAACTTTTAACAAACATTACTGTATACAATACCCACATGTATTCGTTTGACAACATTATCTTTAGAGTCTGTTAAGACTGACAGTACGAATACAGGCGACGATTTAGATGTCATAACGTGTTTCACAAACGCGTCCTTCCAATCAAATTCACTGTCATTATAGCCACACGACTGTCCCATTATAGGCCAACCGCCCACTGATTTCAGTGCCTCTATAAGAGGGGTCATTCCCTGGCATTACGTGTATCTATACAAATACAACTCAAATTATAAATAAGTTATGAATAATTGACTACAAATGAAATGAATGTCCGAAACCTTCATCAATACACGCCTTATAGAGATCGGAGGCATAGGTCACAGCATTTGAATCACTTGTCGACCAGTTTTTACTCAAAGATATCCTCATAGCGTGGGAAACATTATC